CATTTACTTTGAAAACATCCATTTATTGAAAAATAAATTTGAACAGTATGTTTTTAACAGTTGATTACCCTGAACTTTAAGTATAATTCAACTGAAAAACCAATTAAAAATAAATAAATTAAATAAATAAATAAATCGTTTTATTTCGATTATGTTGTTTTCATAATCGTTGCAAGCCAAAATCGTAATTGCGATTAAAATACGATTAATTGAGCAGCCCTAGTTTCAGGTAACGCCCTCCATGGCAATGCAACCCTGCCCAAGTCTTGATATAATCTGCCAAATGTCTTGACACACAGCCTAGACAGGCGGCACCCAGTGTGGGAATGGATTTGCTTTCACAACATGAGATGTTTTACTGTAAATCTACATTTAGGACTATGATAAGACCATGTTTCTGAAATCTGCACACACACGGTTATCATGTTACCATTTGTGTCCTCTTAGATATCAAAAAGCAGTGTGTTAGCATGGTCAACAGGTTAGGAAAAACCTTTGACCTCAGTTAGCAGAATAGTAAACCGCTTAACTTGCAATATAATAAGAGCCAAGCCCGAACAGAGACATGCTGCAAAATAAAAGATCTCCATGCAAATCACTGGAATAGTCATTTGCCTGTTGCCTTGAGAACTGGTGCTAGGATCATGCCAATACTTTTAGGAAATCCAGGAATCAGAAAACCTGCAGAAAAACTCAACGGCTGAACCTTGTTTCACCTGCCTTGGTCTTGGCTACACAGGAGGGGTTTACATTGAATATAATAGCAATCTAACAGGATCACAAGGCATGCTGACAGTGTTTACCATCAGGGTGATGTGAACTGGCATCTATCAACCCCAATGTGTACCTGTCCACCACAAATACTTACGTGTTACACAATGGCTCTGTTTCATAAGAAAGAGGGTGCCACATAATTCAACTATCCAACAATTCAGCACATGTTGCCTGCTTATGGAAGAAAGCCACAAAAGGTCTGAGGCATGTGTGGAGAATCGAACAGGTGTGTCAAACCAACTGAGCTCACATGAGAGAGCATGGCTGGGAAATATGGACACATGTTGAGAATTACCAAAAGAGCATCCCTATGCAGATCTGTTCATGTTCATGACAGTGATTAGCTGCACTAATAAATATATAATATTGGTCATATTATCAGCAACATTTTATTTCACACCTTGTGTTTTATTTCGACCTAGAAATGATTTTACACAATCAAAAAGCATCCACAATGTGTAGTTGTAATCACTGTTCACTTAAGCATGGCTGAAACTCATCTTAAAATATATACACACCAACTATCCTCACTACCCACAACAGTTTTTGGTCCAATATTCCACAACATGTAATGGATGAATTCTACACAACACCATTTATCTGTTCCTGCATTTCAAATACAATTGGAAAGAGAGCATTAATGTTTAAGGCTTCCCCAAACTGGAATAAAACGCACTTCTTAACATCGTTTCTGCAGTTGATGTGTTTGTTAATGTGTTTACCTTTTTTTAAGTTAAATTGTATGGTAGTAAAATATGTATTCTATATCATGTTTCCATCCGCAGCTGGATTTTAGACAAAATATTGTAGAAAAATGGTCTGGGTTTTCCCAGTGGAGTGTAAAGTGAAACAAGTATTGTTTATATGCTATGATACATAAACAATAGGCTATGATCTGAACTATCCCTTCAAGATTAAGGTTGTCTAGGCTTCTTGTGTTAAATAGAAGGACGTCTGTGAAACTACCATCCAAACTGTAGCCATTTTACCCTGCATTGTATTGTAGTGTATCATTTTTAATCACAAACTACATATTTTGGTTTTTGGTGTAACAGTAGGATGAAGCTCCTTACAGTCCAGCAGTAAAGCCATCTTGTGATTTTCCTTTAAAAAGCTTCCAAACTACCGCACATGTTCTCTCATTAAAATGTACAGTCAATGCTTAAAGTACTCCTGTACACAAACGTTGGCAGAACTGTTTTCAGGGACTGTGCACCTTTTACACAGACTTCAAGCTGAACTGGAGTCTTGCTATCCAATGGGAGACTTTATTATCAGGTCTTTTTTTATCAAACTATTTTCATTCCTTGTAATGTAGATTTGTATTGTTTGTGTTTTTGCAGCTGACGTAAGAGTGTCTTGCTTTCAGGTCTCCCTCCCAGACCGTGATCTCAATGAGACTGCCTGATGAGAAAATAATAAATAAAAGTAGCACTTATCTGCATTTTAATGTCAAAATCTCCTTTAATGGGCTCACTGTGATGTTGCTCTCACCATGCAAATATCTGTATTAGACCCAGTGCACGTGCGCTATCTCCTGAACTAACCAGAGGGAATTTAGGGACATGCATGACAATTGGAAAATAGAGTACCAACAGCTCTATGTTCTCCCTACTGCACACATATTGGCCATCATATTCCTGCGTTTCTTGCCAAAGCTCTTACCCGGCTCCTCGGCACTATCCTCCCCATCATCCTGTCGCTCCATCGGCTCTAAAAGGCGCCCTGAGTCCCGGTGAACGCGGTCTACAGCATCTATCCGTGCGTCCGTGTGCTGCGGGGCTTTCTGCGCTGTTGCATGGAAACGCTGCCCGAGAGCCACTAATTCATTCTTTAGGAAAGACCGTCACAATTCCCTGTGTGATCTGTCCAAAAATAAATAACTCCTTCAATTGAAACGACTGGATTAATCTATTTATTTTAGTTCATATACAAAAAAAAAGATTACAGAAGCTCTGGATAATCCCTGCCTAAATATCATCATCTGTCACAGTGAGACTTCTATGCTAACACATCTTGTCCTCGTGTGAGGACGCTCTCTGTCTAAATGGGATTATCCCCTCATAGAGCAGAGAGATAACGCGCAGGGAAGCTGAGCGAAAATGGTGCCAAAACTGTCTAGAATGGTGGTGCGTTCAAGTCCCATAGGAAAACAGCTAACATTGGCTTTCCTCAGAGATTTCAGTTTCAGGTGATAAACTGAAACTGTTTAACTGGATATTTCTACAATAATTGTGCAGGGATGCTACTTCTATAACGATAAGGATTGCAATATTCCTAGGTCATGTTAACCATTGGCATAAAACGCCATGGTAAGGGTCGGGACAATTCTTTGACATGACTTCACCTTTTAGGTGTAGTTACACTGTAAAATATGACCATGATTTCACAATATTTAGCTGTAATATTTTACAATAAATTACTGTTTTACCACTTTACAGTCTTTACCTGTAATGTTCACAATATAATACTGTAATTTTGAATTTCACAGGGAAATCAATGCAGGCACAGTTAATTACTGTGAATGTACAGGATAAATGATTACCAGGATTTCACAACATGTTACTGTATTATTTCATAGTAAAATACTGTATTCAGACCATCCTCTGTGATAACACAACAAATTAAGATTGCTTTTATTGCTCTTGCTTGGCTTTAAATACTAATTTCTTTCTTTGGTGCAGGTTTTACTTAAATTGAAAGGGGCACCGCTGCATGTGCCTTAAAATAAACGATGCAACATATAAATCTATGTAAAATTGAAATTGTTGTCTTGGCTTATTGTTTTCAGGTGCTTCCTGGGCATTAATCCTGAGACGGGCTCGAAAGCCAAAAAGAGGCATGGCAATTTAAACCCCCATGTCAGCACATTCTTCAGAAAAATGGTTGACTTCGAGTGGATGTCTGTGTAGACACATTTTTCTTCTTCTATTTTTCGGATTGATTTGATAAATGAGACTGTTGTGGTGGCTGGTGGGGGTAGAGAAAAGAGAGTTTAGATTTCAAAAAAATGCCTCTACTACCATTCAGCAGAGAATTAACCACAATTAGAGCTTTGAAAATCCCTTAAGATTGTTCGATAACACTTCCTCTCATTTCAGGGTCTTTTCGGGGGACGTGGATAACAAGATCCAATCATAACATGGGAACGTTTTTAAAAGTACTTTAATTGTGCATATTCTTCTTTAATTCAGACATTAGTTTTTGGGGTCCAAAAAGGAAGTAATAATTTAGTTATTTTAGCCAAAGCATTCAATAGAAAAATGTGTTTATCAAAAACGACATATCTTGCTGCATATCTGAACGAGGTAACACTATACTGAAATCATTTAAAATCCAAAAAGTATTATATCTTTGTATTTCAATTCCTGACTGGCTCGCTTTTCTGGATCTTTTGTTCATTATTGTTGGTGCATTTTGCAATACAATTCTTCAGGAAACAAGAGTCATGCAGGAAGTGTGATTCAATCACCTGTCAAATATTACTGGTTATTAATATTTCTGAAAATCCCAATCTTCACTTTTCAATATGATGATAACACACACAAGGAACCCAGTGTTTTTTGCTTACTAAATCTGAACCATTTTATTTTTCATGCATTGAAGGATGTGTAAATAATTAATCAGTGGCTGAATGTAAAACAAAAATGATGGGGAACTAGTCTTCCAGGTACTTTAAATATAACGTGTGAACGTGTGGTTATTTCCTACGGGTTTGAAAGCAGCATTGGTCTCGAGCATCACTGCACCAGCTGGTGCCGCCCACTTGCGCTCGGGTCCTCCAGTAGGCGCGAGGTGGTCAGAGCGCACGTGCGCTCGCTGTAGTGGTCTCTCGTAAAACCAAATCACAGCAACGCGAGAATGAAACACACTGATAGCTCTCAAAATATGACTTCAACCACTTTGAGCAGCAGTCTAGCATCAATATGAAGCAAGTTCATGAATACAGCTGCTGAACAGTAGGTAGTTGACTCTGATACCTCTATTAATGCATGCGTTGCGTTGAGTGTTTATCAATCCTGTACATGTGTATGTATTTCAGGGGTAGGCCTAGTGTTCTCTAAAAACGAGTGAAGACTGAACATCCCCTTGTGGGATTAATAGTGTTTATTCGTTTTATATGGAGAACACAAATGTCCTAAATGTCTCTCACGTTCTGTTACATGTCCCAATAGCAAAAGGCACTATATACATGTTAAATGATTCCTGTCCCTTTATCTGCATACCTATCTTTTTACTGCCCGCCTGCTGTCACTTGGAGGACGCGCTCCTTCTGTTAGATTTGTATCTGCAGGAAAGGAAAAGCACATCCACTCACACCAACAGTGAGTGTATGATAAATAATGCGCATTTAAATCATGCTGTGGAACATAGTGGCCACATCATATATACAGCCTTTCCCACGCAGTATTCATCATAGATCGAGCGATGAGTAGACCCGGCTTGGCACAGTCACACACACGGGGAAACCTCCTCGTGCACACTGCGCCTCCGGACACAGCGCGTCAAAGAGGCTTTACGCAAGCGCGTAAAGGGAACTCCCAAATAAAGTCCTCTCTGTTTTTAAACTAAGGTTCACAATGGCACACCAATTCATCTTCTTGTCACAATTACGGTGCAGCACATCTAATGAAAGGTGTCCACCGTGTACACGCAGAGCAAATGGATGAGAGAGAAGTCAAACAAGCGCAGGTGTCGGGTACATTTAAAGGAGTGCTTTGAGAAGAATATGAAATGGGTATTTACCTTTTCTCCAGAGTTAAAGAGCAGCCGTTCCGATGGAAAGCAGAACGATAGGTGCAGGGTTTAGCCAGGTAACACTCTCCACTCACCTGGGGGCAGATAGGGCGGAGGAGGAAATGTTTCTGGTCTCTTCAGGTGAAGTCTCTCCGCCCACGGTGAGGCTGCGGGAGAACGTGAAGTCATTGGAGGGTTATGCAATGTGACGATGTAAGTAAAAACACGGGAGTGCTGATTGGTCAGGAGCCAAAAGATAACAAAGTGGACATTAAACATCCAAGACACACCCTGTAAGATCCGGAAATGCGCAGCTGGGTTTTATTGTGGGATTTAAGAGATCTGCAGGTATATTTCTTATGTTAATGCACCCATCCTGACAATCTTTAAGTCTCCTCAGGTGAGGCAGACATTCCCATGCAGGCATGTGTGGACTTGCATTAGACTGCCAGGAACGTTCACACACCCCTCCTCTGAACAGTCTGAGGGAGAAGGAGTCTGAAGTCACAGGAAAACAAAACATTTTAATAGATATGAGTGGGAAATGAATGTGTGTGTGTTAGCATGTGGCAGAGCAGAATCTGTCTGACTAAAGCAGTCAAACAACATTAAGGCCTGCTGGTTTCCATGTTCCTACACATTCATATTTACATATTCAAAGTGTGGCTGCTGCTGTCTTCTGAGAACAAAATGTGGGACTTTTACACTTTTATGTTCCACTCTGATTACATTGTCTTAAATAATACACCTCAGTATAACATATTTTAATATCTAATTTGTCTTGTTTATCGGCATTGCATTGGAAACACTATGTTTTACAAAAGTAATGGAAAGTAATCAGGTTGCATTACTTTTATGTTTTGATACTCAGATTAGGTGACTGCATGATTTTACACGTAACTAGTAACTGTAATGGGATACATTTGAAAAGTAACCCCAACATTTACACTGAATTTAAACGTGGGAATAAAAGTGACTCTGCTGGTCTGGAAACAGAGATCTGGGCCCCTCAGGCCCCTCAGATGGATTACAACAGGTATTCTGGATCAGATTGCTTATTGGGGATTTTATGATTTATATTATAATAATACTTTTTGGATACTTCTGTAAGTATTAGAGAGGAAAAAGTCGTATTTTATAACTGAAATGTCTGGTATAGGATACTAGATAGTCCAACTAACACTAAAAACAATACAACAGATGATGCGCCAGTATAATCCCAAATCAGCTTTATAACTGAATAACATATCCTTTGTTGAGCAGAATACATCTGATCTATTTTCTAAAGAGTTAGCTGAGGCTCCTCATCCTCCTGAGCTTGTTGCATTATTTCATAGCACATAGTGTGAGGACATTTCTTCTTTTCAAAGGAACACCATCAATTGAAGGAGTTTCCTCTTAAATCATACATATTAATATGTGGAAGGCTCGGCTGTGATGTCATACATTTTGTGAACAAGCTGACAGACCTCCCTCATGTCACCTGTATGTCTCCTGTATTCAAAAGTAGGCAAATATCTGTCAGACTTGGAATCAGTTTGGTCACTCCTCGCAGAGCCTTTTGACTAGATTTGAAATGATAAAGACACCAGACTGAACCTCAGAATCAGAATACCTTTTTTCGGTCTACAGTGAGGACATTTACATTGTTACAGCAAAATTGAAGATAGAGGCAAAAAATAAAACACTATTAGGAAGGGCATGCACATATTATATAAAACAAAAAAAGTTTCACAACAGGGGTGTCATAGTTATGTGTGGGGGTCTTCCAGGAGGTTGTAAAGACTGACTGCTGCAGGAAGGAAGGACCTTGATATCTTACCAAGTAATAATATAAAAGTAGAAATGTGTTTATACTTACAATTTGAAAAGTTTTTCTGATGATCATCAGCAAAGAGGTTGCCTTTTTTTATTTTTCTGAGGTGCACATGTGTAATTAATATTAGTATTAGTAGTACTTGCATTAGCAGTAGTTGGGGTAGTAGTAACGTTTATCTTTATTATTACTGCTGCTAATACACTACGGTTTCTACTTCTACAACTGATTCTGTAGTGCTATACTTTATTAGTTCAGAAAGCTTTATTAATACCCAATTGGGAAACATTGTTTGCCCCAACATCAGCTCATACAGTGCAGACAATAAAGACACCACATGCAAAGTACTCAACAAATACAATTACACTGTGCAACAAATAAGTGAAGCCACCACCAAATAGCATGTTGAGATTTGATTAACAGCTGGAAGATGCTATATTTCAAAACCACATGTGAAAGTTTCATTAAAAGATCTGACCACTGCTATAAAAGACGGTTATTGATCCAATGGGCCACAGATGCTTTAATGTTCTGATCCTGTTATGTAACAAAAGCCCTTTTTAATATGATAGTGGTTCTTCTCTTTATCATCCATAGAGATGAGGCCTGCACAACAAAGCACAGCAGGCAAGAGGACTGGCTAAGATTCCTGATACAAAAAAGAAGCTGCTGAGTCTGGACCAACCCTCTTTGGAACACAACATCACTTCTCTGCTGCTATTAGTTAGTTCAGTCAGACAACTCACGTGTTTCTTAATATGTTTATTATAGCACCATAGTTTGAGTTTGGCGTCTAGGCTCAGGCCTCATCACTCCACAGATTTACAAAGAACATTGAGTGATGATTAGATAACTATCCCCCGAGCCTACAGGTGGAAGCTGGGGTGGAAGCTGGGGTGGTGGTGGGGCAGGCGAGCAGCAGCAACATGAAACACAGCAGCAGGAACATGAACGTAGCAATAGCAAGTGAACACAGCAGTGGCAGCAGCAGCATAGCGAGGCAGAGGCAGGAAGACCTGGCAGCTTAAATAGAGCGGCATGTTTAGGAGAATGTGTTTGGTTGGTTGTAAGAGGGACGAGGTGCGTCACGTGTTAATATATCAATAGCCGCGTTCACACCAAGTACTTTGCCGTATTTAGTGCCGGCACTCAGAGCCCCGGCACTTATGACCCCAGGGCATTTAGTACAGATCGCGTTCACACCGGAGTACTTTTCCCTGAGGGAAGATTACGCAAATGAGCCGCTGACGTCACTTCGTCTTCTTCTGCTTTGGGTTTACTGGCAGGCAGCAAACAACTTCACGGCGTATACTGCCACCCGGAGTCCCCGGCCGGAAGTCCCCGGAGTTGGGGACTGGCTTCAGTAGAAGCTGCTGGGACTCCCAGCAGCTTCTACTGAAGCCTTCCGAGTAAATCGCCAGAACGCCGACACCTCCTCATCTCCACCGCTCCCATGTTTTGTTTTGTGTTGCCATAAGTTAGTCTCTCTGCGTTTGTGCGCTGGGCGAATGCTAATGCTAATAATGCTAATGCGAGGATAATACAATGGCGGCTCTACAAAACATTTCAGAGTTGTACGAGGCGTGGTTTGCAATTCGCCCAGCCAACCAGAACTGGGGCACTTTTTTCCCCCAGGAAAGTACGATCTCTCAGCAGGCACTAAAAATGGGGGTAAAAGTTCCCGAGATTAAGTGCTCTTTTTGGTATGAACGCGACATAAGGGGTACTAACCGAACTAAACGCAAAAAGTACAGTGAAAAGTACTCCGGTGTGAACGCGGCTATTGGTGCTCGAGTTGACTGCCTGAACTAGCTCGCAGGCTTCGCCCCATTTATGGTGCACTAGGAGTGTTTAAACTGATAGAAGTCCTCCTGCAGTATACACAGAGGTGCTGAAGCCACAAGATCTTTTTGCAGCTGAGGCATGAAAGACAACTTCAGCCAGAGCCGCGTTCAGGGTCTGGTGTGGAATTCATCACAAACTTACTGTCAGATGTTCATACAAAATATTCATTTCCTGCATGTAGCTGAGGGAGTCGGGGGAAGGTGTGCTTTTAGAAATTTGACATGTAGAGTTATCCATACGTCTTGGGCAATCCATGATTCAATACAAAAAGAGTGCATTTCAGTAACCAAACCTGACCGACACTGAGTGGTTCAACAGAGAAGAAGCTTCAGACAACAGCTTCAATGTGTTTGGCTTCGTGCCGCTCTGCTTGCTTCTCCAAACAGTGACGAATCAAGAGCAGGGAATGCTGTTTGCAAAACATTTCCCGAAAGGGTGTCATTGTGGACACTGTGGGGGGGGGGGGAGAAATCCAAGCCTCCCCTTGCTGCAGGTATGGGCTGAGCTAAATCCACCTATTGTGTTTTCACTAATAGCAACACCTTCATAGCCCTGGGTGTTGTTTTACACACCACACCCTAACCCACGCAGGACTCTGCAGACAGGGAGGCGGCCATCACTGAAACACCGACAGGTTCTTCAGAATCAGAGTGGGGTTACACACAGGGATGGGCTTTGGTGTGAACACACAGACACAGAGGAATACATTGTGGAAAAGTAGTAATTTTACAATAATAACAACGATTTAAAAGACTATTATAACAAATTAAATCTAGAACTAAGTAACGTAAAATATGATAAATACTCTCCTTTATTTGCAATAAAAAACACAAGTTAAACAAGATTTGCTCGCAATGTAACACAAGTGTCTGAGGAGGGGTTAAGAGCCAGGGTCAGGAGGGGTCCTGGCCTTGTTGTTGAGGCAAGTATCAGACGAGAAGAAGCTGTTCGAGTGGCGGTGGGTTTTGTTTTTTAAATATTTAAAATATATAATAAAACAAAAGCAGCACATCTTCACATTTAACCCTGTAAGGCCCACGGTTGTAATTTTACAACATTACTTTAAGCTATCCTTAAAGACTACATTCACATAGTCAAAAGGTCCTTTTGTTCAGCCTCACGCTATTGGGTAGTAAATGTGCCCTCTGGCCATACACTCACACAACTTCCGAATCTTCAAACGAGCAACATTTCTTTTTTTTGGTGATTATTACAATGTCTAGAACATGTATACATATTTAGTTTTTGTGGAATACATTCATCAAATTTGATTTTGAGCAGCTTACTGTATGTCTTTGTTGTAATATTACAACACTGGGTCAGTGTGGTAGTCAAAATAGCATAAGCACCTGTCATGGAGATTGCCCTTCTTATATGTTCACATATGGAAATAAAACACAAATAGAAATATAATGTCTTTGATAATTCACTATAACTAAGTTCTAAATGTGTCCTCTGTTAAGATTTTGAATTAAGACCAGAATTTAATAAAT